TCCCTCCAGAGCTGCCACAGCAACATGCCTGTCTCGAGGAGGAGGTTCTGGATGACCAGCAGCTCTGGAACCAGGAGAGGAACTCCAGTCTGGACCAAGAGGACCAAGAGCCTCCACAGATTAAAGAGGAACAGGAGGAACTCTGCAGCAGTCAGGAGGGAGAGCAGCTTGGACTGAAGCAGGAGACCAATCACTTTATGTTGACTCCTACTTATGAGAAAAAGGACCACAGTGAAGCAGAACCAACCAGTGACCAGCAGCTCCTCTCTCACAGCTCTGCTGTAGCTGGGAGCCAGGATCAGGAAGGAAGCCAGCATGGAGACTCAGGATCAGCTAGTAATGCAGAGCCAAAGCCAAAGAGGAGACGTCACAAAGACACAAGTCACAGTTGCAGTGTGGACAACTCTCCCCTGTCAGAGACTCAGTCTAAACCTCCCACAGGTAAAAAGCCTGTAAAGTGTGACACATGTAGGAAAGATTTTAAGTGGAAGTCTGATTTGGATAGACATTTGAGAATCCACACAGGTGAGAGGCCGTATTGTTGTCAAACCTGTGGAAAAAGCTTCACACAACGGACAAGCTTGGTGATCCATATGAGAATCCATACAGGTGAGAGGCCGTATTCTTGTCAAACCTGTGGAAAAAGCTTCACACGACGGGGAAGCTTGGTGTTCCATACGAGAAGCCACACACGTGAGAAGCCATATTCTTGTGAAGTATGTGGGAAAAGTTTTAGGTCTAATGTCGACTTGTCTGAACACATTAGCGTCCACACCAGCCAGGATCAGGAAGGAAGCCAGCATGGAGACTCAGGATCAGCTAGTAATGCAGAGCCAAAGCCAAAGAGGACACGTCACAAAGACACAAGTCACAGTTGCAGTGTGGACAACTCTCCCCTGTCAGAGACTGACACTGATCCTCCCACAAATAGAAAGTCTTTAAAGTGTGACACTTGTGGGAAAACATTTAGGTACAAGTCCTGTTTTAATAGACATCTTAGAAGCCACAAAGTGGAGAATCAGTGTTGTTGTGAAACGTGTAAGAAAATTTTCAGATGTAACAGCGCCCTTTTGATCCACATGAGGACCTTTTTGATCCACATGAGGACTCACACTGGGGAGAGGCCATATGTTTGCAAGACGTGTGGGAAAGGATTCAAGAAGTCATCACATTTGGGTGGTCATTTGAGAACCCACACGGATGAGAGGCCATTTGTTTGCAAGACATGTGGGAAAGGATTCATGCAGTCATCATATTTGAATGTTCATTTACGAACCCACACAGGTGAGAGGCCGTATGTTTGCAAGACATGTGGGAAAGGATTCAAGAATTCATCACATTTGCATGTTCATTTAAGAATCCACACAGGTGAGAGGCCATATGTTTGCAAGACATGTGGGAAAGGATTCAAGAAGTCATCACATTTGGATGTTCATTTAACAACTCACACGGATGAGAGGCCGTATGTTTGCAAGACATGTGGGAAAGGATTCAAGAAGTCATCATCTTTGAATGGTCATTTAAAGATCCACACAGGTGAGAAGACGTATTCTTGAAAAACGTGAGAAAACCTTCACAAGAAAGAAAGTCACTTTTGGCTTTTCCCTTTTAGGGGTTGCCACAGCGAATCGTTGTACTGACGACACGCATGTTGACATTTGGCACGTGTTTTATGCCTGATACCTTTTGTGACGCAACCTTGATTCGAATCGGGGCCGCAGTGGCAAGAGCACTGCGTCTTAACCAGTAGCCTACCAGGGATGACTATAGAAAACCTTCCTTTTTGATCCCTACGAGAACCCACACAGGGGGTGACAATGCAGTTAATAACCTTCTTCTTCATTGGTCCTAAATGAGTCATTTCCTCTCACCACAACTTTATCAAGTTAAACCTCCCAGGTTAAATCAGTCCAGACTGTTTTGTATGTCAGTCATTTTCATTCTTTGTTCTATCACATTTGAACTGCATTTGTATTCACTTTGTTTTTGGATTAATAAATGACATAAAATTCAGTTCTGCCATCTTGTTCTTTTCTATGAAGTCACTGTATAGAGAAATCACTCTTCACACTGAAGATTGCTCATGTGATTAGTAATTTATGGATGATTAATTGATCACAATGAATGTCACTTTTGGCTTTTCCCGTTTAGAGGTCGCCACACTGACCACTCGCATGTTGACATTTGGCACGTGTTTTACACCGGATGCCCTTCTAACCCTGATTTGAACCCAGGGCGCAGCGCTTTTACCGCTGTGGCTTAACCACTATCCTACCAGGGAAGGCTTCATCACAATAACTACAATAATTATAGAATAGAATTAATGTATGTTACACAAGGAATTTGTTTCCGGTACAGAACCAATGGCAGCCATCTGCGGCGCCAACTCAACCGATGGCTCTAACCATTGGTCAGGCGTCTATTGATCGGCGTTCAGTGTCTTGCTCAAGGATACTTCGACACGTGGACTGCCGCACCAAGATTCAAACCTCCAACCTTGTGGTTGGGAGATGACTGCTCTACCCACCGCACCACGGAATACTAATAGCAAGTGTAATATCAACACTGATTAACTCCTCAAACATTGGTCACAAGATCAACAGAAAATTCTACAAAAACTGTTTAACACTCAGCAACACAAGGCACAATAAAAATGAATCTGAACATTTTTCATTTTTCCAAAAATTTCTTTTTCTCCTTTGAGGCAAAGACACTGCTAACTGGGAGCGAGACGGCAGGCTGGGCGATGATGGGCATTTGGCCTGGAGAAACTTAAACTAACACAGGAATATGAGTCAGAGTGAATTACGCTACACTCTTGCTCTGATTCCTATTGTAAAACTTCCGTGAAAAAATAAGGGAGAAGGAATCATTAAATCATTAGCATCTCTGACTATTGGTTTTATAATGAAGTTTTGTTTAATTTATGGACAGTCTATTTCAATTTTTACTCTAGCATTTTTGTTACCTTCTGAACATGGTACAGTGACCAATTAGAAGACCCTGCGTCTGCAAAGTTTTACATTAATTAAAGCTGCATTAAATAACTTCTCTCTCTAATTTTCGACCGTTAAGAGTGTAAGAGTGTGTTAAAACAAACTCAATTAATCATTACATTTTTCAGGTCATGGGGTCAATGTGTAATATTTGAGTCATATGAACAGGATGTCTGCACTTTGAAGATGACCAGATGTTCGTGTTTTTGTTAGCTACCACCTGACATCACAACACTCCACACACCATTTGATTAGCATATTTAGTAGTTGACGTGAGCAGAGGTTGGCCTGCTCACACCTATGGCCAATAGCACCAGGATACGTGTAAGTCCATGCTTGTGTAGCCAATTGCTACTAGCGAATTTTATATCACATAGAAAAGAATGAAGATTCACATGTGATGGTGAGATTAGCTATTTGTTTTGACAAACTGTCAAAACACTGACTACATAAATGAAAAGTGGACAGGTCCTTTAGGGGAACAGGAGAAATGTTAGTTCCAGGATTGTGGTCAGTTAGCCCCC